GCGTTGCCAACCGCTTGCTCCGTCCGACTCCCGCTCCGCTCCGGAGCGGAGCGGGGTTTTGCCGCTCCAGAGTCATTGAACGGTACCCCACTCCACTCTGGAACCGCCGGAGCGGCTTAGCCACCGCTCGAGCGGGAATTTTCCCCCAAATTTTTTTTGGTAAAATATGTCCTATTAGCTTGTAAATCATGTACAGTAGGTATGTAGAGCGTATAGAGATGAACAAGGGAGGTTATAGGTCCAAGGTGTAGGCCTGTAGCCTCGAGGCTCGCCATAAGTGCCCAACGCAGCAGGCTCGCCGCTCGATGAACTCCCTGGTGAACCACGACGTGTTGACCACGCCACTAACTACCGCACACACCGAGCAACGATTTGCCAGGGTCAAAGCGTACAGTAGTAGCCAGTTGTTGCTTAGTCGTCGAGGCTTCATTGCCCTTGCTGGAGCTCGTACGGTGATACATGCCGATCTCGGACTACCTAACACGCTGTAGATGTCCGAGAGATCTAGATCTCAGCAACCGAGTTCTAGAATGTCGACAAGGCGCTACTAAGCCTGAGTGGATGCTACGAGCGCTCACTCTGGCTTTTTGCGGGAGTTACGGCGCAGGATACGAGGCCCAGCACCGCGTGTTCATCAAGCATCGTACATGAAGTACGAGCCCACGATGGAAAGGGAAAGAGGGTGTGTCGAGACTCGATAGGGCATAGATGATGTACGTTCTTCCTACAGTTGCGTCTTCACTCTTGCGTTCCAACTTCCTGTGCGTATGTTCGTGGTTCACGTCGCGTCTTCAACCCATGGGGATCACCCTGAAAATAAGCAGTCAGTATCCTTATCTTGGAGTCAGTTTCAGTGACAGAACTCTGCGGGACACGCACCAGCGACCCAAAGGACCCATCCAGCCAAATTTACAACGCGTTTCTCAAGCTCCAGTATCGTGCTGATTGCTGCTAGCCTCGAGGGTAAGTAATAACGCGTCGAACGCGTAGAAAACGCGCACCTGAGTCGGCCAAAGGGAGCTGGTCTCGATCATGATGGCCGTCTTGAACCCAGTCTTATAGATAGATTGACGCACATAAAATCTGGAAGAGAGCGTCAGTAAGAGATAGAACGATGAGTATGAAGATAAGCATGACGAACCGAGGATTATTATGGCTTTTTTCTGTGTTCTTAGTAGGTATAAATCTACGCTACGATTTTCCTAAATCATCCAAACCATCGACTTCAGATCCTTTGAGATAAAATCGGCAGCCAAATCGGTAATTACACGTTCAGTTCGCCCTGAATAACCATTTCTGCCAAGTCCAACACCTTATACAACCTTCGTCCGGGGAACACGAAACGTTCGTTGTGGTTTCTGTTGCCTGGATCGAAGGCTGAGGAGGAACAGGGAGTTGAGACCGAGAAACGACGCACAAGAGCATGGCCGCTTGAACTTGAGGAATCCGAGTTGTTGCAGTTTAATGTGGGCGAGCGATTCTTTGTCGAAGTCAGAGGCGGTCTAAGAATCAAGAGAACGACGACGTACCGGCCTTGTGCGAGTGCTTGGCGATCCAAGAGCCCACGATCTCCCATTTGACTGCCCGACATCTCCTCTCATGTTGCACGAATCGTGCGTCCACGTTTCCTGATCGTCCAACCTTCACGAAACTCTTCCCGTTGATCGTGCCAATGAGGAGGTAGAGGCTTGAGCCTGGTTTGTCGGCTGGCGTTGCCCGGCGTCGACGACGATGGAGATATTGCTGATCGAAGGGAAGGTGTGCTAACAATTTGGCGGGCTTGCGAGCCATGACGATGATGAGAGCTAGAGGAGAAGGAGTGAAGAAGGAAAGGGAAAGGGTAGAATCAAGTAAGCACTTACCGTTTGTCTTCGTTTGGACGGAGTTGAGAAGAGGGTACAGCGATGATGAGAGCTAGAGGAGAAGGAATGAGGGAAACGGAAAGGATGGTATCAGGTAAGCACTTACCGTTTGTCTTCGTTTGGACGGAGTTGAGAAGAGGGTATGGCGATGATGAAAGCTGGAGGAGAAGGAATGAGGGAAACAGAAAGGATGATCAGGTAAGCACTTACCGTTTGTGTTCGTTTGGAAGGAGTTCAGAGGAAGGTACTGGCTGTAGATAGAGGATGAGGAAAGATGAAGGTGATGACAATCAAATGGACTGACCGTTTGTCTTTGTTTGGGTTAAAGCTTTCGTGGTGACCAACGCGACCACACAAAGCTCGAGCAGCAAGTGGATGTCCGTGTATCGTAAACGTTTCGAGGATCTAAGACCAGGAGATGGAAAAATAAGGTACATGAAGGGTGTGAGAGCTCGACGCGGCTCACCTGTCGTATTCGTCGGCGTAAGACTCTGCGAGGAGGGGTGGTAAGAGCCAGGGGAAGTTCTAGGCTGAGGGCGTTGGAAGCGACGCCACAGCGGCCTGCCCTTAGAATTTCGGGAATTCAACGTACAGTCGCCCAAAAAACTGGCCAAATGTTGGAGTCCCCCTAAATGATTGGCCTGTATCTCCACAGTGGAGCATGATTACATAATGCTCTGGGTACATCAAATGGAGCTTGGAAGCACAGCTTTCCGATGCAGTTTGCCCTGTGGGAGTATCTGCCCACAGTGTGGAGATATCATCCATACAAGTGAGATTTGCATTTGGCCAGTTTTTTGACCGGGGGGTCAAAATCAGTGATGTCTGGGAGTAATTTTATCATAGTGTGAGATATGACATTATTATGACATCAAGACTTTGGGAGCATCATCTATGATGTCTTGGGTGATGTCATGTGCTCCACTGGCCATTATAAAAGGCTTGATCATCCTTCAGATTGGGCACCAACATGCGTCCCCTCTCCAAAGCTAAACACAGGCTTATCCTCGAGTTTGCTGCTGATCCCAGCCTTTCTGCCAGGGATATTGCTGGCAAAGTGGGTTGTAGCAAGACTACCATCACTAACTATATCAACAAACTGCTCCCTGACAAGGAGAATCCTTGTGGTGGCTGTCCCAAGAAACTCACCCCCCAGGATGAACGCCATATTCTGACACAAATACGCACTGGCGCCACCAAGGATGCTTCCCACATGACCCGAACACTCAACACTGTCCTTTACTCTCCTATTACTCCACAAATCACCAGAAATCTCCTTTATGACAATCATATGTATGCTACAAAACAGAAAAAGAAACCACTACTCAAGCTACATCACAAGCGGGGCAGGTTGGCATGGGCACGGAAGCATGTGAACTAGACAGTGGAGGATTGGAAGAGGGTTATGTTCACAGATGAGTCCAAAGTAAACCGGTATGAGTCAGATGGGAGGTCATATGTGTGGAAAACAAAGGGAGATCCACTACTGGAGCGCAAGGTGCAAGAAACAGTAAAGTTTGGGGGAGGGAATATAATGGTTTGGGGATGTATGAGCTGGAATGGTGTGGGGCAACTTGTGGAGATTGAGGGGAGGATGAATGCCCAGCAGTATGTGGACATTTTGGAGGAGCATCTGCCAATCAGCAGGGAAAACCTTGACCTTTCCTCTGACGAATACATTTTCCAACAAGATAACGACCCCAAACACACATCAAAATTGGCTACCAAGTGGTTTGAAGACAATGGTATTGAGGTTATGGAGTGGCCTGCCCAGTCTCCTGAACTCAACCCCATTGAGAACCTTTGGAAACACCTCAAAAGCCAACTTACAGGTTATAATGCACCCCCTGCTGGAGTTTATGAATTGTGGGACAGAGCAGCAGAGGAGTGGGGGAAGATTGAGGTGGAAGTCTGCCAGAAGCTCATAGAGAGTATGCCCAGACAGTGTGCTGTGGTTATTAAGGCCAAGGGAGGCCATACAAAGTACTAGAATGTCAAATCACTTAATTTTGACCCCCCGGTCAAAAAACTGGCCAAATGCAAATCTCACTTGTATGGATGATATCTCCACACTGTGGGCAGATACTGCCATGGGGCAAACTGCATCAGAAGGCTGTGCTTCCAAGCTCCATTTTATGTACCCAAAGCATTATGTAATCATGCTCCACTGTGGAGATACAGGCCAATCATTTAGGGAAACTCCAACATTTGGCCAGTTTTTTGGGCGACTGTATATCCATCGGGAAGGGTACTGAGTCTCCGAATACACCGGTATCCTCGGCCATGTTTCGTTCGAGATCTCCCAGGTGCAGACAGGGAAGCCGAAAAAAAGGGACCGACCACTGAACATGCATCAAGAGGGAATCGAACCCCCGGCGGGTCGAAATCACAAATGTGCGGCACGACCTATGGCAACGACCCAGGTTACCACTACCCCATTGATGCGTACCTCAAGTTCGGAGAGATGAGTGATCGAAGTGCCTCGAGGGATGAATCGGTAGCCCGCTCCTGGAAGGTATGAATTCATTACTGACACGTGCTTCAGTGAATGCTGCGAATCTCACTACCGTTGGTCTACTGTGCCAGTCGGCGATATGTATTGATGTAGCCATATGTAGACAAGGGTTGGGGAATAACGCAAACAACTAAGTAGCTGAGGAAGGGAGCAGGTCCGTACGCAAACATATGATAACAAAGGTGGGCTGGTAAATCAAAACAAGTCAAGTGGTAATGCACTTTACCTCCGGAATCGGAGATACCAAAGGATATTGTGATTGCTGAGAAATAAAGGATGTCAAAGACTAGACATGACATGAAACTTCGTTCCTCAAGCAAAGGGCGATAACCTTGCGGGGACAGGACTATCGGTAGGAGCTGGCACAATGTCCAGACCAGGACCTTCGATCTCTAGGGTTTTGACAGGTCGGAGCACCGTGAAAATGCGTCCTGCGTTACTGGAGCCGGTAGCTATACAATGAGTTGAAACCGAAAAGAGGTCAACGACGCACCCATGGCCAAAGGCAAGTTTCGAAACCAGGATTAAGGAAATAACTGGAGATCCGCGTACTACGACGCCAAAAACAATGCAGAAACTGTGTTCTTACTGGGGGGCTGTCGATAATCTTGATAATCTTTCTTTGATATTGCCGACGCATTCACGCTAAGGGCACACACCTGCCGGAAAGGAAAATGCAATCAGGGATGAAGAGAAATAGGTCAAAGATTCACCGATTCCCAATTTCGACCTAAACCCACTCCCTCATCCGATAGTCATGTAGTTCCGATCGAAGACTGATGACGCCATGATTATGATAGGTTTGGGAAGAGGAACGAGGGTGGGAAGATTCTCCATCTACCCAGCGGGTGCCGCGAAACGAAGAAGGTTTGTGCAGACCATCTTGAGGGGAGGTTTTTCAGCTCTCGAGTACGTCCGGGTCGGTGGTCTTCTGCAACCACATAATGAGCGGGGTAGAAAATGCGAACTATAATCATCATGAGTCGAGCCAGGCTGGAACTACTTTAACTGGAGACTTTCTGTGCGATTACTTGGGCTCTCTGCGACACATGTAAGGCAAATGCCATAACCAACTACGCCACCGAACCGGCGGATGAGCTTGCATACATCGACGTTGTCAGTTTGTGAGATTGGATTATCACAAAGGAGATCAGGTTTCGGATAGGTAACGGGATTTATCAATTCACAGGCGTTGAGGAGGACTCGAGTACACCAGTACCTTGGTTTTCATATATCTTTCAGGTACACCAACACTCCATCATTCACATAGTCATGGACGCATCAATGGGGTAGTGGTAACCTGGGTCGTTGCCATAGGTTGTGCGGTACAGTTACGATTTCGACCCGCCGGGGGTTCGATTCCCTCTTGATGCATATCCTTTTTTGTGCGCTACGTACTCCCCATGACCGGTGTGTGTATGTACACTTTCCTATTCACGACTATGTATGGAATTCGATGAATTCGGGAATCCTCTATCCATATATTTGTCTACCCGAAGCAAAGATCGATAGCAGCTAAATTGTAGGAATGTAGACGAGGGTCAGAGAGCAACATAACAAAAACAGCCTGGAGAGACGACAAATAAGTCGTGGGAGAAGAGTGGAATATATGGCACGACAGAATGTCAAGCATTGAAGTAGTCCCCTGAGATATCAAAGGACACTACGGTTGGATAGTGAGAGGCAAAGGATATGAAAGACTGGGCGTGATGCATAATGGGCAGAAAGAGCGGAGTTGCTCTATCTTGAAAGCGAGGAGAGCAAAACGGCACGCAATAACCAGGGCATGATTTAGACTCGTGATAAGGTCTTAAATGGTCGGAGCACTGAGCAAACAGAGAATGTCTACGACAACCAACCTGAATGGCAAAGCGGGGTACAGGGGAGGATAACTCGACTCTCGAGGGATACCCACATGAAAGGACCGAATCAATCCACTGAATGTGCCGGCAATTACGAGCGTCCTTGCTGAGCCAAAACCAGTCGCTATCGTGTCTTCGTCGCCGAAGCATTCGCCGTCCTTGCATCTTGATTCATTGACTACGCAATTGGCCAAACTTGAGAATCGGACAATTGAGAAGAGGGTAAGGGCGCACCGTAGCCCATTAAAAGCAAGAATAACCAGCCGTTTAGGTCTCCTCCGTCCATTCGAAGCTTGAGCTTGCCGTTCAACAGGGGAACGTCATCTTTGTCCTTGAGGTGGCGGATTTGACTTAAAGTCAGATCCTAGGGCAACGTTCAAAACAGAAAAAGACGCATCGATATCTATGTCAACATGGGGACAGACGGCAATTACACGTCCTTTTGATTTGAGATACACAAGGGATCGGTGGGAGAAGAAGGGAAGGTGGAAAGATCCTGCCTACTGCCAACGCCGACCGAAGCGAAGAAGCTTCGCGCACGGACCAACTTGAGGGGAGGTCATTAATAGCGATCTAGCCGGAGACGTAAGAGCTGCATCTTCCAAGCAAAATCTATCTCTCTGCTGACTAAAGGGTTTTGGGGAGGTACAGGATGTGATTGACGGGAGTCTGCGTTTGTGTTCTCTGATGAGAAGTGTGCGGATCGTCAGGATTAAAAAAATGCAGCTACAGGATCTAATTACTGACCACCGCAGAGGTCGAACCTGCAATCTCCTGATACAATTGATCAGTCGCTCATCGTAGTCAGACGCGATGCCATTTCGCCAGGCGGCCTTACATGTCCACCGAGACCTTAGTCTATTCTACGTACTTTGAGGATGACGATTTGCTTCAAGACATTGACGATGTACCAGTACTTGACCTCAGTTTGCGAGCGCATCGATGGGGTAGTGGTAATCTGGGTCGTTGCCATAGGCGAGTGTGAGCCTCTCTCTGCCTGCCGGGGGCTTGATTCCCTCTTGATGCCGAGGAATGTGATGTCGGGTGTAATTTTTCACACATATCTGGTTTGAACTCGAAAGATCGTTGGTATCCTAAGAATACTTACCCCGCTGACCAAAGGATGTACAGGCATGGATTATTGACGTTCAAGTACAAGTATCATGACTAGTTACACGTATGCATAACAACAAAAACCACGTACGTACAATCGAGATGTGTTAGATATGTGCCAATAAGTTACGCAATATATGAGTAGTCGGATCGTGATTGGGGAGGCATAGCGGGGAGATGAGAGTAGCTATGGTAGAGACAGCGATAGCGCAAGAAACACTACAATAGTAACGCAACTGACGGCTTGGAGTTAGAACTCGCGCAATTCTGCGGTGGGGGACCGGGCAAGTGACGCGAAAACACTGGACACGGCAGACCGAGAGAATGGAGTTTCAATACAGCCCCTGGTTATGGTCTTGGAGAGTCAAAAAGACTAGTAAAGGAGAGTTCGGAGACCGGGACTGTTCTCAGCGGCTCAGAGATTTACATGCTGAATTAGTACCCTTTGTAGGGCCACCGTTATTCCTCTACCTCGCATCCGGTTCACCCTTCCTTTTGACCTCAAACGAGGGGATCTGACGAGCACTTAGTATCAGAAATTAGATTGTTTCGCTCGATCTTTTTGGAGGAGAAAGACAACCCCGATGGACATTGGGGAGGGTTTGGTCGGTACAATGGTGTGCCGGTTCCCTTCTTTGCCTCGATACTCTCATACTCAGTCCCAAACACGGTCGGCAGCTCCAGATCCAGCATTTCGACTACTCTCTGGATAACAACTGATTGATCTATCGGCCCTCAAGTTGGTCTGTGCACAAAGCTGCTTCGTGGGGTTGGCATCGGTGATATGGAGGACCTTTCTCACTCTCTTTTCGTTCCCGAACTACCATGAACTCTCGCAAACCGATGGCTTCTGGGAACTCAAGAGCTCAGATCTCGAGGTTTCGGATGGAAATTGAGCCTCGGTGCGTCTTGCTTCATTTTTGTCCCGGGTATCCTGAATTCTGATTACACTTGTTCTCGTCGATACACAACGGAGGACGGCGAATGTTCGTGTACTGGCGTCCTAGTACACTCACGGACACCCCATCGCCTTCTACACCTCGGCCTTGACATTGTTACATTGTGCGTCTCCGTGTAGTCGGTGCATAGGCTCGCGGAGAAGCAAAAAAATCCTGGCTACGAACTCTCGCCACCGGAATCTACCGATATCCTCTTGTGGTATCCCTCTCTCTCGCCAGTGCCCAACGAAGCTGATACCGTGTTCTCGGTGCCTCCGGCCATGGCCATGCCGCTCTTTCTCGCAGCAGAACTCTATGCTTTTGGTCTACCGTGTCCGTTCTTTCACACTCGTTCCCTTTCGCTAGCTGCAGTGTCTTGCTGGCTGTGTTATCACAGCGTCCTAGAAGTTTTGTTTCACCATTCCACCCTACTATCATGGCTAATACCAGTGAAGGTCGAGTGTGAGGTGGGGAAAAGTCGAAGTCAAAGAGAAGTGGGACTCTTGGTGGGACCACCACGCGAGGACCTCATAAGTGTAGTCGTTGCCACCAACCAGATCATACTCCTCCCAATCGTCCTCAGGCTTCCGTGGAGGAAGAAGACGAGCTTGATGACGACCAGTAGCTGGTGAAAACCATTACGGGATCCACAGCTGCTTTCTAACACGTCTGCAGTCACCACTCACTTGGAGTGTTTGTACAATTTCGAATTTCTTGAAGCTACATAAATCCAACGCGGGTCTGAATCGATCCAAAACACATGAGATTCGGCGAAGTCGGCAATTGGAGAATCTCGAGTTCTAACGTTTGAGGGCCATTGCGTCGTTCCTAATTCGTGCGGGGCCCCAATTGTCTTACTGCTAATGTAATATCCGTGTATGAATTCCATATTTGACATTCCACTTTTCTGGCGTTCGCATGAGTGAGCCGCAAGAGGGCACATCCCAATGGCAGTGGCTTGGGAGGCGGTGCGAGGTAGTAAAGATGCTATGCGATTTACCTAATCCAGGGCATTACACATCCATGGTGATATTTCATTAAACAGTGAGAGAACGTAAACGAGGGATGCGAGAAGGACATTACAGGATTACCCAGATCTATCTTATCGTCGGTGGGGCACGGAAATTGAACTTCCAAGCTGTCCTCAGGTGGCTGACATGCTCTGGCGGCTAGAAGAATTGAAAGGTCAGGCGGTGGGGTTCCCAGATAGCAACGGTCACACCTGTCAATCTGGGTTCCCAAAAAGAATAATCCAAACCCAATACGTAGCATTGTGTCACTGGCTTCGTGCAACATATAAATCGGTATTCCGGGCAGAAGTGGCATTGGAAAGGTAAGGATCTTTTTTGCTGTACAAGTTGAAGAGATGTCAATCTCTTTATCAAGTGTATGAAGTAACCCTCAACCATTGATGTCTCCGGACCCCAAGTCTCGCGCCCGCTGCTTCTTCATACTATACTCCTCCCTTTGATCACTCCGGAACCGGTGTTCAGTACGTGGACCATGCCGTGCAATATAAGCCTCCTCCTCCTCCTCATCTCCTGCTCTTGAACTCCACGAAATAAATCTCCGTTGTGGGAAGTCAGGATGGTGTGAACCTTGTGTAGTATTGCCCAGAACGCTTTCCTTGAACGACCGTTCGTCGTTCACGGTCACACCGAGTCCGGTGCGAA